AAACCCAATGTCCTGTGCCTCAAAATACCCTATCTGCTATCTAACTGGAGAAGAGATGGATCCATGCCTTTCCCAAGGGTATTAGTGTGAATGTGAATATGATAGACTAGGTGGGAATTTGAACTCGAACCACTAATTTCACTTTCTATACAGATGGCCATTACACTACCCACTCATCCTATTTTAACACACACACAGACATATATATATATATATATATATATATATATATATATGTGTGTGTGTGTGTTTGCATCTGTATGAGAGAGAGAGAGAGAGAGAGAGAGAGGTGGGGTTTCTCCATTCAAAAATGCCAGGACAAATTTTATTGTAGTGTGTTCAATATTCATGCTCCAGAGTTGTGACTTTGTTGCATCCAAGGTTAAGCTTAGTAAATAGTAGTACTGACTAATCTGTAAAAGTAAATACCATCAATGTTGTAAAATGACCAATCAAAATATCTCTGTTAAAATGTATTCATGACTTAAGCTACCAATGTATAACAAAGTGCACTAAATTTATTTTAATAAAAATCCTATAAAAATCCTATAATGTACTGAGTTCTGCTATTCCTTTGTTGTACATATTAAGCCATATAAATTAAACATTCCTTCTGTTATAAAATCACATCATCACAAGTTCTGTAATTCATGAGGGTTTTAGGGGCAAAAAATGTACAGTAACCAGAATAGCAGAATATATGTCTAGAGTATGGTAGCCTGATGTAGCCCATCAAAGTTTTCCTTCTCCTAGATGTGTTGCTATATCAAGACTAAAGATCCCAGTTTACCCTATTATTTACAAGAGTTTGAATTCAGAGTTGTGCTTCTCTTAGACAGGTCGCTGCTAAAAATCAGAATGTCTAGTCTGCCTTGCTATTTAAAGTATAACTAGAGGAAGACTGCACTGGTGCTTTTTCCAAGAACATTCATGCGAAGTGAGCGAAACAAACTCGATCAGAATTTGACCTCAGCATGTTGATTCCAATTTTTGCACTGATATTTGTTATCTTACAAACCCATCTACAAATGTCATAAAATAGTGTCTACCAAATTTTGTTAATAATGACCAAGACATTAGACCACTCAGAAAAATAAAAGGAAAGCTTTTGATTGGCTTTGTGCTTTTATCTTTAGTTTTCAAGGCAGAGGTTATATATGTTTGTTATTTTATTTATTTTTTACCTAGCAAAATCATAAAATAGTTTCTGACATGCAATAGCATCTTTTTATGATTATTCTTTTCAAGCTTGATTTGGAGTTAACATCTTAATCTTAATTACAACAGTCATAAACTAATTTTATCAAATTAGTTTATGACTGTTGTAATTGAGTCCAACTAGTTTATAAACTTTAGTCTAACTAGTTAATAAATCTTTCTCCTGTTCTAAGAAAAAAGAAATTAATAATTCTAATAATGAAAAAATATGAATTAGTTTATGGTACTTTTAATTTGCTGACCCATGAGACCTGTTTACTTGCCAGTACACTATCTTTGGACAGAATAAATCAGCAGCAGAGACCATCAAATGGCTAGTACAAAGTTGCTCATATAAATCTATGATAACATGTTAAATTATGTCATTTTCTTTCATGATTAGAACTGAGCACTATACTGATTAAATGATACGACATGGTTTAAAGTTCAATGAATAAATAATTCTTTTAACATTACTACAAAAAAAAATAATCACAAAACAAAATTTCTTCAGTTGTGGATAACATTTTAAAAAGTGGGATTAAGTATGATGTTTCCATGACAAAATACTTAGTATATCATGAAAGTTCCATCTTACACCACACTGGGTATGATGATAAACTACATCTGAGTCCTGGGTATGACGATAAACGACATCATGCTGAGTAAGATGATAAACTACATCCAAGAGCAAGGCCTCTGATCAGGAGGTTTTGAGGAGTGTAGAAGCACCTCTTAATTGCTGGTGTTCTCAGGTCCATCCTGACCTGGGGTGGTAGCACCTGTTAGGGTCTCAGCTATGTGCAAATAGTTACCCCCGTAAACTGGGGTCAAAACACTATGAAAGTGTAAAAATAGGTTTTAATACCAGCAATACATGTTTGTAAAAATATTATGAGCTATGAATTTTTTAGGGAAAAATTATTACCAGCAATGCATTTTTGAAAAAAAAAAAAAATTACCAGCAATACATTTTTAGAAAAAATATATTACCAGCAATGCATTTTTAGAAAAAATATATTACCAGCAATACATTTTTAGAAAAAATATATTACCAGCAATGCATTTTTGAAAAAAAAAAAAAAATTACCAGCAGTACATTTTTAGAAAAAATATTACTAGCAATAAAAATCTTGTCAGCATTTAACCCATTGAGATGTTGATATGCCATAAAACAAAACAAACCAAACCAATCCATTTTACAAATGCACAGTGATCTCATCTGAAATTTCCAGATTTCTTCTTTTTCTTTTTAATACAAAATCTTAAAGTTAAGTAACAATTTAGAGACCCTTTTTAATAAATTAACTCATATCCTCCTGGTACAGTGTAACCCGGATATAAGAGAGTTGTCGGGACGGGGGGACGAAGTCTCTTATATCCGGGTTTCTCTTATATCCGGGTTCAGTCTTATTTATATACATTAACACAGGCTCTAATTTGGGACCAGAGAAAATCTCTCTTATATCCGGGTTCAGTCTATTTTATATACATTAACACAGGCTCTAATTTGGGACCAGAGAAAATCTCTCTTATATCCGGGTTCAGTCTATTTTATATACATTAACACAGGCTCTAATTTGGGACCAGAGAAAATCTCTCTTATATCCGGGTTACACTGTATAAGTTTCAACTTACACCTTTGTTTTTTCATATAGTGTAACCATTTTGCTTCAAGTTCATATTTTCTTAATTTCATATGAAAATTTTCCAACATTTTTCTTGTATTGTTTTGTTTCTTTAATGCCATATCAACTTCTTATGGCTCAAATAATGCCAAAAATTAATTTTCTTCAGAGCATTAGTAATTTCTTTTACAAAAAAGTATTGCTGATAATTTTTTTTTCCAAAATATATTGCTGGCAATTTGCTTTTCCAAATTGTCAGTACTATCTTTTTTTATTATAAAAATGTATTGCTGGCAATATTTTTTATTCTTACAAAAATATATTGCTAGCACCTTCACTATTAAATTATATTTCTACAGTTTCATAGTATTTTGACACCATTTTTAGGGTTCGACTATTTGGTAGCCATGACACTAACAGGGTGTACCTGGGAACAACAGCAATTAAGAGGTGGTTCCATGCTACTCAAAATCTCCTGATCAAAAGCCTTGCTGCCAGATGTAGTTTATCATCATATCCAATACATTTCAGTGATGGGACACGGGTGGGTAAAATGAAGTCTATTCAAAACCTTAGTTATTGTCAAGGAAGAAGTCATTTTATGAAGCCCTAACTTCAGATGAGGTAAAAAAAATCTCAGGTGAAAAGTTTATTTTACCTTTTCACTCAAAGCATATGAAAGTATAAAAATAATATAAATATCATATGAATAATCTATTTATTCATCATTTTTTTTTTAAATTTCAGTTTTCAGTATTTTCTTTATTTTGTTGTCTTTCATTTTTGGGGGAAGATAATAGAATGAATTCTTTGGATATGTGCAGCTAACATATACATTGAAACTTTCTGTTAATTTTTTTTCATGTTTGCGTCAACATACATAATAATTTATTCAACAGTTTGATTCAACCAGAAATTCTATGAACAGAAATCTTTTTAGTTCCAAGTCCCAAACCTAATCAATTTGGCACTGGTCAAGGATTTCATTCTTCAATTTCTGTAGCTGAAAAAATTGCAGTTACTCTCTTGTACATCTTAAAAAAAAAAAATCTATCTGCCTACCAAATAACACAAAAACTATATATATATATATATATATATATATATATATATATATATATATATATATATAGCTTGTTCCTTATACAAATATAGAATACAAATTATATTAATATATTTAAATAACTACACTTTTCTTCCTCAATTTTTTTTCATTTTTAAGTTTGAAAGAGAAATAAAAGAGCAGGGTGAGATAAGCCGAGGCCTTTCTTTTATGAAAGGTAGGGACAGTAAAAAGGCTTCCAGAATAAGGTAAACATATGCAAGAAAGTTAAAAAGAAACAAAAAGAAAACAATAAAATTTACTATGACTAACAGTAATAACCTTGAGAAAGGTCTCAATCCATCTTTTATTCCCCTATGGGTTAAATAGTAGGACAGACTGGATGCTATAGCCTTGGTTGGCAACCAGTCTAAGGTAGAAAAAACGACAACCTACTGAAAGAAAATCTGCATAATAGTCATGAATCAAAAGAGACATGATTGCCCAGGTGTATAGTGTGTATGGCACTTAACTGACTAAGCAGTAGTAATAAAATAAGCTTAGTTAACAAAAAATAAAAAAAACAAGAGGAAATATCAATGACAGAGTGAAGATAAAAAAGTCACAAAACTGAATGTGAGAGAATAATGTTTACATGAATTTAATTAACAGAGGTATGGCAAAAATAATTGCTTGTTTCAGAAAAATCAAACTTATGAGTAGCTTATGAATACATACTTAAAACCCATAAAGCTCAAAGCCAAGGTACAATATATTAATAGAGGCTCTATAATACCCACCATAAAATCCAGCAATTATATTAATTAAAATTAAGGTCTGGTATTAATTATAAGCATCAGTCATTGGATAGGTTGCACGAGGGTGAGTTTTCTCCAACACCATACAATGCTACAAAACCAAAATATTAATCTGATAATCTTCTTCTATGTACAGTGTCCCTTCAGGATTTTGGTGACCATGGCTCTTCACAATTTCCTGTCCTTTGTAGCTCTTAAAAAATTTTATCTTTTTGTTATCTCTCTTAAACTTTGCTCTGCCATTCATTTACACAAGCTTACTAAGTAGGTTATGCATTGTTTTCCTGTTCTTCTTGCCCTCAAACTGTCTTGGCTTATGGTCACATCACATTGAAACATCAATTCCCATAAGATCACAAAAGCTAAGCAACATTGAGCCTGATTAGTACCTAGATGGGTGACCACTTGGGAATACTAGGTACTGTAAGCTTGGATGCGCAAGTCATTTGATGGATACTGGCTTGGAACTGATAATCAGAGAGCTGAGTTCCAATTCCAGTTGGGTTCATTATATTCACTTATATGCAAATGTCTTTGGGAAAGGCATGAATCCACTTCTCCAGCTATGGATTAATTAGTAAGACTTGTATCACTAAATCATTAATATCTCAAAAAATTTAAAAAATATTTTCTGTCTTTAAATAAAACCTGAAAAAGGTTGATAAGCTATATAAAATGAATTAATCAAATCAATCCTTTTTACCTGTGAGTATCAAATTTTCCAAGCCCTCCTTCCTCATTATGTGCCCAAGAAATTTCAACTGTCTCTTCCTGATGTTAAGTGTAAGTGTCATTTTTGTTTCCATTTTCTCTGAAATGTCATCATTGCTCATATGTTCAGTATGCTATAATTTGTGGAATATATCTCCCATGAGCCTATCTCACTTGTCAATCCTTCCATCAAAAGCCATGCCTTCAGCAAGTGCTGAAACTTGCAGCAGAAACTAACTTTACAATAAGATAATTTGTGGAATATTTTTCCCACAAGTCTATCTCACTTGACTTACATATGCATGTTGATTTTCTCCATGTGTCTATCTTGACTACCACCTTCCTTTATACCTCGAACAAACTCTCAGTCACCCACAATTGATTTGCAATATCCTGGAACACTCAAACCTTGTAAATCATGGGGAAATAAAAATATCTCATCTCCATTTTTTCTTGCTAATGGTAACACATAAACAGGAAGTGGTTAATCTCACTATTATCTATAACCCATTAGTACCCAACATCTCCAAAATGTATTACTGTAGTGACAGTGTAATTGTATGAAACTTATGAAATATCAAAAGCCGAAACACTGCCTTCATTTGCTTGATGGTATGTAATGATAATAATAACAGGATTACAAAAATTCAGAAAAAATAACACAAGTAGTAATAATAATCAAAATAAGAATTTTAGAATAAGTTATAAGACTTTTTTATCTTACTATAAAATACTTCCCTATGCAGGAGTTTATTCCTTCTGGGGAGATTGAAAATAATTTTAGCTCAAGCTCCAAGGAACCATCCCCCCCAGGAAGTACCTCTATTTTGGAAAGGGGCTGGGGTTATTATCCAGCACCTGAGGTCTTCCCAAAAAGGAAAGTGCCAAGGGAGCTTGAGAAATTTTTCTATGGCTTTGTCAATAGACCACATTAAACCTTTGACCTTGTGTCACATTTCGTTGTGATGTGTGTGTGTGTGAAGATAAATACCTACAATAAGAATATGGTTCTTTCTACCAATTCAGCTGAAATATGATTCTAATCATCCATATTTTGTTAAAACATAAAAAATTTCAATTTACATAAGGGGAGAGTTCTTTATTTATTCTCTAGAGATTTATGTATACTTCTCAAATTCAAATTACTGTAAACCAAGAGGAAGGTTTTCATGCTTTAATTTATTATGGGGAAAAAGTTACTATTTCTCTTCTATGGAAATATCTTCTGTTGTACAATTAAAATTGTTCAATGTTAGATTAAAATTTCTCTTTTATTACTGATGTCTGGTTTGAAAATAAATATTTGTGTGTTTTGAAAAATGGAAATTTACAGAACAAATATTTTTTTACTAAAAATATTCTTTATATGTTTCATATTATTTTTCACTGAAAATTTTCCAAAAACAAGTGGAATCTATTTAGTTTCCCTTTTCTACTACTAGTTGATATTACATAGTTACTGTACATAACTAGTGTTTCTGAAAATTAATTTAAATAATGACAATAACAAAGATATTGTAAAATAGGCATTTCTTATTTATTTCATTTCAATCTCAGTCTTGACTAGACATAATAGATGGGTACTTCAGTGAGTAGTAAATAGAAGCTTTGGAACATGAAACCAGGGCCCATAATAATACATGGATTTTCTTGTGAATTATTTTGACTTTATTATCTGAAGAAAGAAATAATCAGGCATAGCAGACCATCTAGGGAGAAATTTCTCTGTTTGGAATGCAGTCAAAATAAAAAATTCTATCACACTTATGAATTTGTCAAAAAATAAACAATATATAAGAAAATTTAGTTGAGATTTTAACATTACATGTGAGGCAGAACTAAGTGATATATATATATATATATATATATATATATATATATATATATATATATGACACAGGAAGAAATAATAATTTAAAAAACAACATGATATATAATGATGTGTTACTTGAAAAATGATGAAACTAAAATAGCACAATAAGCAAAAACTCTCTGATAATGGCTTATGAAACCTGTAAGTATTCAAAGATGAGAAAAATTGTTTTTTAAACTTCAACTGGAATCCAAGAAAATAAAAAAATAAAATCATGACAAGAAACTTTCA